AATTGGCAGGTTCCGGCTGCGCCCCAAGGAGAGCATGTGTACCGGGCACAAACTGCCCTGGAGCCGTTTGGAAATTTAGGGCGACTCATAAGACACCTGATGAGCCTCAAGACCCTTTCATAGTGAAACTCAGCGGACAGTCTGCCGACATGTCGTTAACGGCTCTCCCCCTCAGCCTGTGGGGACAGAGGCACCAATACCTCTAATTGCCTCCACATTTATCAGTGGGGAGCTGACAACAACCCCACACAAACCTAGCAGTGCCATGCAGGGTCCCCCAGCCTCACTTACCTGCAGCGTTTTACACCCAAAGTCTCCTTATGCTTCCCCCTACACTAACTTCAGATTATCTGTCAACAACTGTTTAGTTTAAGGTTTGTTCTTTTACAAGGTTTCCTCCAGTTTTCTGACAATTTCTCATTGCCAAACAAGGAAGGTGAATTATCTTTAGAAATCCAAACACATTGTATCCAAAAGCCAATTCATTTGGGAGCAAGCATAGCAGTGTAAGTAATGATGAGCTAATAATTGAGCTTCTTTTGTAAACATCAGATAAATATTTTGACATCCAAGGCTTAACAGAAATACCTTTACAGGTAACAAGGGTACAGGCTATTCAGATGCAGTAAACATCTCCCAAATCTGAATTTAAAGGATTACAACATATGAAAAGAGTTATTTAAACCAGCAGACGTCGTACTATTGTGCAGTTATTTAGGAAAAAAGTTAAGCTGCTTTGCAGGTTGCTTTAATAACAACAGGGCGGGGAGGGGGGGAAGCACTATAAAATGAATTAAGCATTAGTGATGAAATTCACACTCCAAGTCTGTTTGCTTTGAGCAGTCCTACGTGGTCAGCCTGCCCTAATGCTTGTGTTAGTTGGAAGAGAGAATCAACCCCAGAGCCTCCTGCTAAGCTCCTGAAGCCCTCCCGTTTCATGCAGACAAACACAAGCGGGAGGCACCTGCCTGCTCCAGAGCTGTGTCCCCTCTCCAACCAGCATGATTCAGGGAAAGGTTTTTGCATACCTGTAGCACCAAGAGGATGTCCCTTTGAAATCAAGCCACCACTAGGATTAATGACCCATTTTCCTCCATAAGTGTTGTCTCCTCTGTCAATCAGGTCACATGCTTTTCCTACAAAACAGTATTTATAACAGAAAAATATTGCTTTTTTGGTTTTAAGTGATGTTTTCAATTCTACTGTCACTTCCCAAAGACGTTGCATGTCAGTCAAAATCTAGGGAATACTACACCACAGATTTTACAAAGAGCAGACTGAAATGAGCCAAACTGCATTAATTAACACCACTTGCTTCTATCACTGGAGAAAGCCTGACATGAAAAGGAAGCGGTAGGGGTTTACACAAAAGGCTTTTAAAATTTGCTGTTGAACCATTTTGCTGCTATACAGTATTAGGATATAATCAGCATAATGAAGCTGTTCATTATTTTATTAACAAAACTGCAGTGATAACTGGCTTTTTTTTTTGTAAAAGGGCCAGTTGTAATTTGTAACCCCCAAGACATGGAGGTCCTGGTGAACTCCAAGCTTTCAGTCAGAAAGCTTAATACAATGCACCATCTAGTGATAGAGTATGATATTTTCTCAAAACTAGTTAAAAACAAATTTGAGAAAGATTACATTGGATCATTATTTATGCAAAGCAAGAATACATTTAGAGGTCAAATACTTCAAATACTGAAGTAACAGTTCAATGCAGTATTTATTTGAAAACAAACAAAACCCTCTTCAGTAGAAAATATTGATGTTTTGACTTACATAGATAGAACTGAGCTCCACTGCCCTCTAACCTGTTGTAAATCCACTCACTTCAGTGACATTGAGCTCATCTGGGCAGACTGAGCATTGTTACACTGTTGACTTTAGAGGCATGTTCACAACCTGCCAACAACTGTTTTCACAGGCAAAGGCATTTCAAGATTTTTTTTAAAAAGCCCTATCAAAGATAAAGAACTTGGTAAGGCCCACTAGAGGCAATTCTTGTCCAATTTTACCTTCTTAAAAGGAAATACAAAGATGGAGGGAAATCTTGGGCTAAGTATACAGCCCTGAAAAAGAGGCATAGTACTGAGAAAGTTCATAAGAGTCCTTTATTTCCTTGCTCTACTTGCTTAAAAGAGCCATCCCTACACAAGCTAGCTGTATGACGTCATGTAGTTGTCCAACACTAATTTGCCTTGTGCATTTCTTCAGAAATTGTTATAGCACACTCCCTTGTTAAACTAACTGTAGAGCTTGCAGGTCTTCCTTGTGTTAGTACAGTAGTAAATTGCTTTTCCCTCTTTACAAGGTTAGCTAATAAGACTTACAAATATAGAAGATCTGTCCAGGAGACAACTCAAAGTTCTAATTGTGTGAAGAGACAAAAAGATATTTTTAATGCTGTCTACTTTAATAAAACAATGATCTCTATTACCTTCTGGACAGAGTCCCAGAGCTTCGTAGGTAATGAACTCATTAACTGAGAAACAGTCATGAAGTTCAATCACATCAACATCTGTTGGTTTCAGGCCTGCTTTTTCAAAACATTTTTCTGCAGCTTTTTTGGTCATATCATAGCCAACCTGCAACAAGAAGAAATGATACGTTAGAATGTCTCTAAAGTAACATAACTAGCCATTTAATTTCTACACTTAAAACGTGCTTCTATATATCCTGTAAGTGAAAGGAACTTGCAGGAGGTGGCATTCTCATTTATTTTAATGCATCACATATCACAGAGTTTATTATTCGTATGGTATGAATTGTACAGAAATAAATATTACATTCAAAGTCTCACTGTTGGCACGTGGAAACTTTTCTGGGGAATATTCTCTGTTTTCTCAACCTTGCTCACGGACCAAATTGCCTCTTCATGTGACTTGGACTAAGAGCCTTGAAACAAATCCTCAAACTGTTGTGCTACCTTTTTCTATTAACCATCTGACTAGAATTCTGTCTGAAACCCAAACAGAACATGGCTGCAGTAGAAACTATTGGGTATTCTAACAGTTTGACTTACATCCAATTATTTTAGTCAATTTGCAGTAGGATCATAGACATAAAATAGTTATAAGTTTCATTACTTTTATAAACAGAGAAATTAAATAAATGTTTCTCTTGCTTTTCAAATTGTTTAAAAAGTAGCCTTTAAATAATTTGTTAAAAACTTTGTTAAAAGACAGCCTGTCTATAAATGTCTTACTGTTATTCCACCACCACAGTCTTTGCTTACTCCACCTGCTCAAATGAGATTACTTTTACATTCACCACGAAGTATAATTTGTTTGCTTACTGACACAGAAATGTCTACAGTACCATTAGGACTTGCAGATATTAAAATAAAATTAAAATAAAAAACCCTGAGAGGTATCAGGGAATACCTACCAACTTCATACAACTGTTTTCTTCAAAGGTGCTTGGATAATCGGTAGCCATCACCTGGGCTAGAATTTCCACAGCTTTGGGCTGCAGTCTGTGCCTTTTCACAAACTCCTCATTAGCCAGAACTGCAGCTGCAGCGCCATTTGATGTTGGACTGATTGAAAAAGAAAAAGAAAATAGTCATCATTCTAAAATAGTAATGTCAATCTTCCATTGACTTTTAATACAAACAAAAAACCAAAAAGGATTAATGAAAAACCACCGTCTTTGGGCTGATACCACTGAAACTGTGAATCCCATCAGTGTTTGCTGGACAGAAATTTCATATTTGTTTTATTTTTAAGAAGTTTTCTGTAAAGTTTAATTCACATGCCAACAGACATTTATTTAAATCCATAACCCCCCCATATTTGTCTTAACATCAAGATTTACTTGACAAGACTAAGTCATTTCCTTACCAACACTGTAAGACAGTCAAGAAATCAAAAATTTTGCGAGACTGCAGAACCTCCTCTAAGGTGTACTCCTTCTGGAACTGGGAATACCTAAAAAAACACACAGATGCCATCTTGCTTTTAGCACAGCCACTAGCAGTAGACATATTAGTATCACACTATTAGGCACCTCTAGAGCTCTTCTTAGAAAGTATAAGGCACTGGATATAGAATGTATGCTGGGTATGATTCTCACTCCATAATAGAGTACATTCTGCAAAGTATTTCTAAAAATAATACTCAGATTTGCATGAATTTTTTTAACAGCAATACATTCAATGTAGAGGTCGAGTGCATCACTCACGGGTTCTTAGTTGAATGGCTATGATTCTTCCATGCAATTTTTGCAAAGTATTCTGGATTTGTCCCTAGGAGGGGAAAGAAAGCAGTGCTGAAATATGTTATTTACCCAAACAATGCTAACGTAACCATTTTTAATATTGTGTCATGAGAATTTGACCTTTACAAGCATTTTACAAGAGGCTCATTGTTCCCAAGGCTTTCCTTAGAACTCAACTAGGTCTAACAGTTAGATAAAGACTACTAAACATGGTTGAGCTGTAGCTAACAGAACATCCCACTTAGATATTTAACACTAACATAAAAATACAGAAAATAAGTGCATTTTATTTGAGGTATTATTACTGAAACCTGAATGCTCATTTTCTATCAGTGCAAAACAGCTGCAGTAAAATATTTGAATCCAAGTCTAAAATTTTTCCATATTCTAGTCTAAAACTAAATGCAATAATAGATGCTCAGCAGGCCAGCCTGTTACTGGGAGCCAATTCCCTTGTCTGGTGAGGGGTAAGAAATGGCAGTGGCAGCAGCCTGGTACTATATAGTGAATCAAATACCCAAAAGCTTTTGTCAGACAATTCCATCCCAAGCCTATCTACCCATCCTAAGACACATGGGAAAAATGTAGGAAGTTATGCACCCTTATAGCCCAGACCTTACAAAAGCACAATTCATACCATTAGCATGAGCACCAGACATCCTATCACAGCCTTAATTTTGTCTCCTGATGGTTTTATTTGCCTACTATCACCAACTTTTCTGTAGAGAACTCTCTATCCAAATGTATTCCTGTATCTGTAAGCTGTAGATGTTGCAGTTGGCTACTTGGGTAGAAGAAAGGAAAATGAACACTACCATTTAAAAAAAAAATAAAATAAAATCCCTATACGTATTTTTTAAAATCACTTGATTAAAAGAGGACAATGAAAACAAGTATTTTCTCATACCATATCTCTCCATATGTTCTTTGCCAGCACTTGCAAACAACTGAGGTGCTATTGGAGCACTTTCTAAGCCGCGTTTATTCATCATAAGTTGCAAATGTTTGTCCATTGGGTTAGCTCTGTCTGAAAACTAAAAATAAGATAAATATTTATCAAGCAAGCTATAATTTCTTTTTCTTAACAACATCCCCACCAAAGTGCCATGGATTTCAAGCAAAACAGACGTTTTCCTGGTATTTTAACAATTCCACTGGACACTTTGTTGCATTTCAGTGACATATTTTGAAGCATTAGTGATTTCCCAACTAAAGAAACAGTAAATAAGCAGAATAGGCTTAATATTATAAACACTGTGCTGATTCATGGCAAGGATCATTCTTGTGTGATTTCTACACCAGTTATCATTTTCAGCAGAGGACTGCAGGTGCTCACTTTAAAATCCTACAGTTAACACAGTTCCAACTTCTAAAATTAATACTGTATTACTATTTTCAATGAAGCTTAGCTAAAATATCATAAAGTATGTTAAAGATAACCCTTACTCATTTCAATCAGTTGTTAAATTTAACATTTCTCACACAAACCTCTGAATATATTATCAAATTTGGCAGTTCTGTAGTTAAAGGACATACGGGTGCTAATATTACTTGCCATAAGACAAAATACAAAGGAAGTGTCCTCTCCCCACTCCTCCAGTAAAAACATAAGAGAAAAAGGTATACAGAGGCCCTTAGATCCATGGAAAGTGTGTTCAGTGATCAGCTGGGGAAGCATAGAGCCAGAAGACCCATATTCTTTCTCTGATTTGCTGTTTTTTGAGAAAGAGACACCTCAATTGCTCCATGTTTCAGTATTCCCTCTGGTATTTCCATTACTCCCTATTAACCCTGCCTTTAACACATTTGCAGCAAAATACTAAAAGCATGACAAACTACATAAAATTAATTCTAAGACATTCCATATAAAATTTGTATGTCATAGCTACAAGCAGAATGATAAAACTCATTAAAAGCTTCCACGGATCAAAATAATTCTTTGTTTTGTAATCACCTACAGCAACATCTTAAAGTGACTGGCCTTCAGGAGACTGTGCCTCAAAGAATGAGGAGGTGTTCTTCAGCTACCAGTGCAACAAAATGTTTAATGTGTTTCAGACACTTACAATTGAAGCAAGGGATCCTTTTGCCATCCTCTCAAAGCCAAGTGCCAGAACACAATCTGCCAAACCTTAAAATAAAATTTATGGCTGTTTAAACTACTACGTAATTACAAATAACATTATGTCCTAACAACTATTTAATGACAAAAAATACACACAAACACCTACCAGCTGCTCCTTCTCCTTTCTTCATTTTTGCAAGAGTCTCAAACAGGGGTGGGAATGGTATTGACACAAACATAGTGGTACTGAAGAATGAGAGATCGCTACCGGGTCTTGGTTTAAAATAAACTATTTGAGAGCAATTATCTTAGATGACCAAGCTCTTATATCACTGCTACAAAAACCAGAATGCTCATATAGAACGTTACTGTAGTTTTCATTACAGAAGCATCAGCATTTAAGCGACACAAGGTATCAAAGTCCACAGAGGAACTGAAGAAACAGAAGGGAACACTCATCTGTCAGTTCAAAGCACAGTCTGTAACAAGGCGTTCCTCTCTTCCCCTCCCTTCCAAAAATGGCTTAGTCAAACACTTGTGTTAACTTCTAGGCAAAAAAAGAAAATTAAGCTTCTCAGCAGATCCTTCGCTCCTTTTCATCCTGCAGTGCAGTGCCTTGCACTACTACAACGTGCTTGTTCTGCACCACTCCAAACAATTTGACCAGAAAACACATTAACTGGCTTGCTGCTTACTGAGTTCATAGAGGTTCTGACAGAGGGAAGGACATTTACATCCATATCCAGCACCTTGCAGCATCACGGACTTAGGCTCCTAGGTGCACGCAATTCTCTAGTTCACAGTGATAGTCTCACTCTCGAGTGCTTGGTCTTATATTTGTATATACAACTGATCAACCTTGTCAGCTGAGGGAGGCAGAAAACAATTTTTCCTATGAGGATAGGATGTCAACAACTCAGGGTACTCACACATTCACTAGTTTCATTCTTCATTCAAGTTATACTTACAGAAATGGAAAATATGTATTAAAACAACTCACCTCCTTCTACCAGTTGTCTGGCCATGAACAAAGCAGTTGAGCCAGTAGCACAGTTGTTGTTAACATTAATGATAGGAATGCCAGTTAACCCCAAACCATGATAGATAGCCCGTTGTCCACAGGCAGAGTCACCTTTGTATAGAAACACAATATCAAAACAAGGTACATACTCAAACTTCACCCACCATGTATGTGCAATGCCACCACTAAACTATAAACTTGAATGTTTTAACTGTCATCTCGAGTATGCCTCTCCACGGTGCAAAAATTTTAGAAACAAGATGAAAATCATCAGATTTTAGAAAGAGAAGTTTGTTCTGCTTCTGTGATAACAGGTCATGAATCAAGGGAAGGTAACTGGACTGAACAGAAACATCTTAGAGGTGTTGCTTGGAAGCTGCTGCAGGTATCACAGCTGACAGACCCTACTTCTGTTACCATAATAGTCTTTAATAGAGAAACAAGAAGAAAGTAAATGGAAGACTCTCCTTGGAATGGAAACAAAGTTCCTCATAATGGATATCTGATTTTAACTGCTTTGAAAAATACATCAGGCACCTGTGAACTGGAGTGGCAGGAAAAGGTTCCAACCAGTCATTCAACACTATCTCCTCTCACTTCAATAAGCAGTGACTGCAAGTTAAAAGCTTCTGCTACCAGTGTCTGCCAGAAACCCGTTTGAGGGCTGTGCTGGTTTATCTGGGGTAGAGTTAACTTTCTTCACAGAAGCTGGTACAGGGCTGTGTTCTGGATTTGTGCTGCAAACAGCACTGGTAACACGGGGATGTTTTCACTATTGCTGAGCAGCACTTACACAAAGTCAGGGCTCACACTGCCCCAGCAGTGAGTAGGCTGAGGGTGACACAAGAAGCTGGGAGGGGACACAGCTGGGACAGCCAACCCCAGCTGAGCAAAGGGGTATTCCAGACCATAATGTCACAGTCAGCATGGAAAGCTGGGGGAAGAAGAAGGAAGAGGGGGAAGTCTGAAGTGATGGCATTTGTTATGAGTGATGGAGTGTTGTTTTCCATGTTTGAACCCCAAAATACCCCTAGCAGGTGTCTTCAGCTCAAGAGCAATGGATAAACAAGCACATCCATTCTGCTGTACACACAGCATCACACAAAGAATAAAAGAAATTTGAAGCCTGTGGCCATAAATATTGTAATACTTAGTTTTGCACCACATGAACGAATACACCACCTGACCTTGCTGAAAGAGCTACTTGTATAAAATACACTTGCAATACAAATTTATGGAAGTCTTTCCATACCTGTGACTAGAACTGTAAACTCCACAAATAAGCACAGATCTGTGACCACTAAAAATATTTTTTTCTTTTAAGTCTGATACAGTTCTACAAACTGCCATGATTAAATGTCATAACCCAAAATTGATGGGACCCCCCACACTTTATCCACACAGATGTCTGCAAACATGACAGATGCCACGTCCCCATCAAATGACATTACTTACCATAGACGTAACCCACACATGCCTGCTTCACTTCTGAATAAGGAATCCCAGCATCAGCTAAAGCCTTCTGGCCTAAAAAAAGTATAAAAGTTAGAGAAAAGGTCAAAAGTTGAAGGGAAAAAAAAAAACAAACCAAAAAAACAGCAAAGCAGTTCTCACAACCATAACAAGGAAACCTAGAGTAGTGTGTATGATTCATGCATGCACAAAGAAGAAAAGGAGAGAGCTGTAAAAATTCCTTATTACATGATGTGAATGGCTAGTAGTCCTGAGTCTTAATTCTCATAATGGCCATTCTGCAGTATTTTGAGTTCTGAACAAGCTCCTTCATCAGAAAATTTATTCCAACCAATCCTGTGTTCACAGACAAAGATTGTTTGTCCAAATTAAAATATGTTTGAATAATACAGATAGGTATGAAATTATTTTATGAAACTATTTAAGTGTCCAATTCAATTTTAAGCCACCCTTCTGACTTCAGTACCGGAAGGCAATGAGTTGAAGGGGCCAGTTTTGGATTTTGTGAAAGTGTTCTGTTTTATCAGTTCTAGGTTTGCTTTTATATCCGTCTATTCACTGAACAGCAGCCATTCCTTTATCTGCATAATAAAAAGAGTAAGATTTAAAATAAATGTCAACAATCAAACTAAATGGTTTATTATTAAATTACCTGCCTCCTTAGCCATGTCAGGATAATCAACGCTGTTCTCATGAGGCTTTGTAAACTGACAAGATTAAAAAAAAAGGATAAAAAAAGAACAAAACCAAAACATGAACAAATCACAGTGAGATTTAATACATCTTATGCTCAAATTGGTGCATTTAAATTATTTACATTTAACTTAGAAACAGGTTTGTGTACAGTTGGTTTTAAAAAATGCAAACAATTTAATTTAATTGACCCAAAAGTCCATGCACAAATCTGCACCATTCCCAGGTGCTACTGCCAGACCCTGTGATGCCTAAATCTGAAAAACAGTGAAATTTTAGGGTAGCTAAGAACCATTTTTGCTCAGTCTTAAAGAAGACCCATGACTTGTATGGAGATGGGCACTAACCCAGGCCAAAGCCAGTGGGTGGGACAGAGAATAACTGTCATCTTCACCAGTCCATAATACCTGACACAATCTTCATCAAGTGTCATTGCTAAAAAAAAAATCCTCATGCTAACTACTTATAGGGCCACAAATTATTTGACATTCACTGTTAGTATATAAAAGTGATTTTGCTACCTCCTTATGCTTACCTGCCCAACTTCAGCCCTTTGTAACACTTAGCTATACTTTCTGTAGTGCCTCTTTTCCTTAATTTAGAGAGAGAACATTCATGCTGAAGGTTATAAGAAAAATAAGCCAGTGAACTGATCATTGTAGAAGTCTGCAAGAGCAACTGGTGTTACTTGGGCAAACAAAGAGGGAAGAAGAGCACTGACAATTTCTCCAATCACACTGAACTAGTAACTGAGATGACCCACTTCTGAAAATGAACGGCACAGCCTGTGGAACTGACAATTGCACAAACACGTGGGCTGTCATTTCACAAAGCAATACTGATTTTTAGCAGACATTACACATCATGAAGATAAAAAAAGAGAAAAGATACACTCCTAAAAGAATTCATAATAGAATGATAAAGATGCAACATGGTGTCTGACAAGTTTTAGTTGCCTCTTCCATGCTATTACTCCTTCCTTGAGCACATCACGAATGAGTTTAAGGTGAGGTCCAATAACTTCCAAAACTGCACGCTGTGATCCCACCCAGTTAACACCATTAACAGAATGAAGTCTTTTACCTTTTATTACATATCCCTTACTATATCATATGCTGGAGAAATACCCACGCAGCAAACAAACAAACAAGTTATTTAAAAACTGTGTGTGTGCAGGGGTTGTTCTGACCACTCTGCTGAACATCTACGTTAAGTTTTGCCCACCAAGACTGAAAATGTTCCTTGAGCTTTCGGACACGTCCCACGCTGTGTGGGCTCCGTGTTGGCTGCCGAAGGCGCAGGCACGGGAAGGCACCGGCACAGCATCCCCAGGGCACCTACAGAACCGGCCGTGCCCGGGCACCTG